CAAGACTTAATATTGTCACCTACTAAACACCGAAGCAAATTCCCCAGAGAACGATTTGTGACCTCTGTTTGGCCATCTGACTGCGGATGATACGCAGTACTCATATCCAAACTTGTACCCAAAAGCTTCCACAACGAACGCCAAAAGTGACTAAGAAACCTCGTATCGCGGTCAGACACAATGGACGTTGGAAGACCATGAAGACGGTAAACTTCCTGGAAGAATAACACAGCCACACGAACAGCATCGGTAGACTTCTTACATGGAATAAAATGAGCCATTTTAGAGAACCGATCGACAACCACGAAAATTGAATCGTTCCCCTTTTGTGTGCGCGGAAGTCCCAACACAAAATCCATACTGACGTCCGTCCATGGCTGAGTTGGAACGGGTAACGGAAGGTATAGTCCCGCATTTGAAGCCTGGCCTTTGGACAGTTGACATATCCGACATCGCTCAACAAATCGTTGGACATCGCGACGCATGGAGGGCCAAAAATAAGACGTAGTAGCTAATTGAAGTGTTCGATCACGACCGATATGACCCTCATGATGCAACTCTTTGATAATATGTAAGCGAAGGCTGGAGTCCGGGACACAAAGACGCAAAACTTTAAAGAGGAAACCATCTTGTAATGTGTAATCGGCAGAAAGGCCAGCCTGAGCTTCATCAAATATACGTTTGAAGAAAGCATCCTGAGTATAAAGCTCAGCCATTGCCGCGAAGCCAGGAACCGTAGCATGGATGGAGGAGACGAGGCTGTGACGACGGCTACGCGGTTTGTTTTTCCGGATTGGTGACGGATGGAGAATGTGAACTGCTGCAAATACGCGATCCAAGAGGCATGTCGAGACGAGACCTTGGCTTGACTATCGAGATGTCGCAAGGCATCATGATCAGTGAACAAAATGAACTCGCGGTGAACCAAATAGTGGCGCCAATGTTTGATTGCCTGAACGATTGCATAGAACTCGATGTCATAGGTGCTGTAACGGGAACGAGCGCCGGCCAGTTTCTCGCTGTAATAAGCGACAGGTCGGCCTTGTTGACTGAGAACTGCCCCAATGCCGAGTTTAGAAGNCGCAAGGCATCATGATCAGTGAACAAAATGAACTCGCGGTGAACCAAATAGTGGCGCCAATGTTTGATTGCCTGAACGATTGCATAGAACTCGATGTCATAGGTGCTGTAACGGGAACGAGCGCCGGCCAGTTTCTCGCTGTAATAAGCGACAGGTCGGCCTTGTTGACTGAGAACTGCCCCAATGCCGAGTTTAGAAGCATCACTATGAAGCTCGAATGTTGCAGAAAAGTCAGGTAAAACGAGGATTGGAGCGGTCGTGAGCTTGAGTTTGATAAGTTCAAAAGCTGCAGTCGCCTCCGGTGTCCATTGAAACTTGCCATCCTTCATGCAGCTTGTGATCGGTGCCATAATAGAACTAAAGTGATGAACAAAACGCCGATAGAATGATGCTAATCCGTGAAAGCTACGGACCTCAGAGACCGTTTTAGGTAGCGGCCATGATCGCACAGCTTCTACTTTGCCTTGATCCATCGACAAACCCGAGGAGGAGACGACGTATCCGAGAAAAAGGACCTCGGAAACACCGAACTCACATTTTTGCTGTGCTGCAAAAAGTTTTTCTTGCCGCAGAACGCGTAAGACCTCGCGAATGTGGGAGACATGTTCCGCCATTGATGAACTGAAAATAAGGATGTCGTCAAAGTAAACAACAACAAATTTCCCAATGAACGGGCGCAGGGACTGGTTCATGATGCGCATGAATGTACTTGGAGCGTTGGAAAGACCGAAGGGCATAACAAGCCACTCGAACAAACCTTCACGTGTCTTAAAAGCTGTTTTCCATTCATCACCGGGCTTGATCCGGATCTGATGATAACCACTTTTGAGATCAATTTTGGAGAAGATGGACGCTGCGCCTATTTGATCCAACAAGTCGTCTAGGCGTGGAATAGGAAAGCGATAACAAACCGTAATTTTATTGATGGCGCGGCTGTCCACGCACATACGCCATGTGCCGTCTTTCTTGGGAATAAGAAGCGCCGGGACCGCGCAAGGAGACAGACTTTCGCGGATATAGCCTTTGCGGAGGAGATCTTCAACTTGGCGGCGGAGTTCTTCATGTTCATCAGGACTCATTCGATAATGAGGGCGGTTAGGAAGAGTTGCGCCGGGAACTAAATCAATCTGATGTTGAATATCACGCAACGGTGGTAATCCAGTCGGCAGTTCCCGAGGAAAGACATCGGCGAATTCGTCCAAAGCAGTGGCGATGTCCTTGTGAATTGCGGAGGTGGGAAGGTGAGTTGCCGGAGACTGGAGGAGAGCAAAAACGCGACCTTCTGTTTGTAACTCTGAGCGAAAGGTCTCATAAGAACAAAGTAATGAAACTTGTTTGGACGGAGTGATCGGCGTAGTGTCTACTGGGGCTGACGGAATTGGTAACATCGGATCTTTAGACGGGATGAGAAGTATTTTATGCGCCTCCCACGTGAACTGATATGTATTATCGGCACCGTAATGAATGATTTTCCAATCATATTCCCAAGGGCGGCCCAAGAGTAGATGACTGATATCCATAGCAGCGATATCACAATAGATACGATCCTTATAATAAGGACCTATCGAAAACGAGATCAGTGCTCGATGAGTAATGCACACTTTAGTTCCTTCGTGAAGCCATCCGAGAGAATAAGGGGCTGGGTGAGGTTCGCGTGCTATGCCGAGTTTATCAATGGCGTATTCAGAAATAACGTTCCTGCTACTGCCGGAATCAATCACAAAACTGCAGACGCGATCCTTGATTGTACAAGTGGAACAAAAAATATTCGTTCGAAGCCACTTATCATCGTTCTTACGTGGGGTGAGACAAGTGCGATGAAGAACAAGGAGGTGTCCTTGATCACCGGTTGTGGGCTGGAGATTATCATCGGCATCGTCGTCCTCGGCCTGAGAATCATAGACATCTTCGATTGTATCATCAACAAGGAGTCCGCGACGAGTTGCGTGTGGGCAAGCCGTTTGACGGTGACCTTGCTCGCCGCAGGAGAAACAACGGAGAGCGTTTGGCCTCGTTGATCGACGGAGCTGTTGTTCTTCGGGGTTGGTAGGTTTCGGAGTCGATGCTGTGGTATCACTTGTTTCTTTTGCTGCCGATGTACTTGATCCTGCTTGGTCTTGCGTACGAGCTCTATTTGATGATTGTGACCAATTAGAAGAACGAGACTGTTGTTCAAACGATGCTGCGCGTCGATGAGCTTCGCTGATTGTCGATGGGTCGAACTGAGCCATTGCAGTTTGCAGTTGTGGGCGTAGTCCGCCAATGAAACGAGATACGAGTTGAACTTGGCTGTCGTTGATCTCATTACGTGTAAGTAACAAAGCAAATTCCTCTGCGTATTCGTCCACACTCCGATTACCCTGCCGAAGGTTCTGTAGCTTGGTATATAACGTGCGTTCATAATTATGTGGCAAAAACGTCTGACGGAGATGCTTAGTGAGTTTCTCCCAAGACTGAATTGGGGATTTGCCGGTGCGTGAGCGAGTGGTCTTGAGTTGTTTCCACCAAGTTGCTGCATGACCCCTAAATCGCATAGCGACCAAGGGTACACGACGGTTTGGCGGAACTTGTTTGAAGTCAAGAATTTCCTCAACCGAAATTAACCAATCAACAAGATCGTCACCGCGAAGACCACCATGGAATTCGGGAATATCGACTTTGANGATTTGCCGGTGCGTGAGCGAGTGGTCTTGAGTTGTTTCCACCAAGTTGCTGCATGACCCCTAAATCGCATAGCGACCAAGGGTACACGACGGTTTGGCGGAACTTGTTTGAAGTCAAGAATTTCCTCAACCGAAATTAACCAATCAACAAGATCGTCACCGCGAAGACCACCATGGAATTCGGGAATATCGACTTTGAAACTATTCTCCCATCGGGTGTTATAGTTGTCGTGTCGTTGAAGATCCTGGAAATAGACTTGTCGATGGAGCTCGTCCTCGTCATCGGAATGAGTTGGTTGTGCTCGATCGCCGTCTCTGGGAATAAATCTGCGTTGAAGATGATGTTGGCGAGGCGGGATTTGTTGTTGCTGTGGGTGTTGATGTTGATATTGTTGCTGCTGTGGAAACTGGAATTGTTGGCGAGCCGGTGGATTGTGGTCATCGACGTGAGGATGAATAGGGGGGGTGGAGCACGAGCGACGGGTTGGTGTTGAGGCTCCACGCGAGCTGATAATGCTAACGTCAAAGCTTCGATACGGTTGACTAATGTTCCCACTGTGTCGCCAAGTTGTTGAATAGATGTTTGAGTCGCCGTTTGCATCTCAATTAGGGTTTGTAACTCAGTTTGATCTGGTGCGGTATCGTCAGGATTATCACCACCAGAGCCTCCTGTTTTCTTAACCATTGAAACACAAAGATCTTTCCCAAAACGTTCTGATTCTGATACCAACTGATGGAGAGCGGAAGCTATAAACCTAACTTGTAAGTGAAGTAACGATAGAAGGGGCGCGAATACTCTTCGCAGTGTTCGTTAGAACTCTTTAGGGTGGCGAATACTCTTCGCAGTGTTCTTGAGAGAACTCTTTNCAAAGATCTTTCCCAAAACGTTCTGATTCTGATACCAACTGATGGAGAGCGGAAGCTATAAACCTAACTTGTAAGTGAAGTAACGATAGAAGGGGCGCGAATACTCTTCGCAGTGTTCGTTAGAACTCTTTAGGGTGGCGAATACTCTTCGCAGTGTTCTTGAGAGAACTCTTTTAAAAACTGAAATCTTTATTAATCTAAAAAGTTGTATCTCATCTCTTGATGAGGATCCTTATTTATACTAAGTAAAAAGCCATAATCCTAATGGGTTTGTGATTCCCTTAGCCAATTGGAAATTAAAACTAATCTAAGAAAAGGAAACAAAGAAAAGTAAATAACGCTAAGTGTTTGAGGTGTTGTGATCGCTAGAGATCACAACTGGCGCTGCATCAGAAGCTGACGCAGCTTGTTTCAGACAATACCGCATAATCTCTCCAAGTTTTGAACAAGCATCCACGCAAAGCTGCATTGCCTGCAAAATTCTGAAATATTGTTAGGCAACATCTTAGTACATAATCAATTGCTAAGATGTTTAACCACACAGACCCTTTTGTCTGACTTGCATATATATAAGGTATCAACACGCTACAAACTGATGTGTGCTCAAAGATTGTAATCGAGAAGAGTCTATTTAACCTATATCATGTGCTTTAAACAAAGGAAACAATTGGATAAAGTCAATGGCGAGAAACAAAAGAAAGGTATTATTGAAAAGAGCATACCTCGTTGATATTAGGCGTTACCAGTGATGGTCAGCTGAGTGATTTCATAATGAGTTGGCATGCATGTCATCATCAAGCTTCCATCTTCACATCGTTCCATTTCTGTTACCGGGTCAATCATAAGGCTTTTACCTATGCAAGACTTTCAAAATTGCAGAATTTTTTTTTTTTTTTTGCAGTCATGGTCGACCACATGGCATTCTTGTTGTATGTGTTGCTTACTTCATCTAACGCTAATAAACTTAAGAGATAATGCAGAGGAATTGGTGAAACTGCTAGCTGTAACATAAAACATACCACTGAAACAGCTGTGATACATCATAATCCCTATATCTGCAAGAGCAAGACTGGCACATGATATCACAACGGGGAGGTCACCTGCAACACAATACAATTACAATACGATAACATCAAAATATCTATGCCAAACAACAATCTAATAATAACATGAGACTTACTGCCTCCAGATTCAAGAACCAGCGCAAAAACATCAACGTTTGTCTTTGGAAACGTTTCCATCAACATCACGCCTTTCAACGCTTTGTGAAGCATTGATGAGTACTCTTTGTGATCAGTCCCCTAAACAAACGTATAAACTAACTTGATGAAACAATACAGAAATGTGGTTACAATAACGTGATAAACTCACATACCTGACTCCCAAGAGCAGGGTCAGCGAAAGTAGTGTAGCTAACATTGCAATTCAACCTACCAACATTACTACAAGTCGTTGCTTTCTTACTCTCCCTTGGACCAAACCTAATAGAACAAATCCAAAAACACACATCAAAACACTAAGATGCACTTTGAACTTTTCTCAAATACTATAACATGGTTTGTAATTTTGCATTAATACGTCGTCGTTTCTGCTCCCTGTTCTCTATAAGAGAACATAACACTAAGATGCACTTTGAACTTTTCTCTAGACAAAATGGTTCGTAATTTTGCATTAGTATTCTCCATAATCTCTAACTCCAGTCAACTAGTGCCAAATGCACAAAAACAAATTTATAATGTAAATTACAAAACAAAAATACTGTTGAGCAGAAAATTGTCACACAAAAAAACAATGGTGGGAGGAACAACCAACTGCCAACAATCAACTAAGTAAAGTAGTGAACTCAACATAATGTGCATTACTTTTTCAAGAATAAAAAAACAGTGATCTAGTTTCATTACATTATCTGCCTATGTCGCGAGCTCTATCTAAGTATTGTCATTGTACATTTCTCAAACTCAATACATATCTAGACTAGAAAACAAATAATTAGTCACATATTTGAGAGATATAGAAAATACATCTTCCGCATGGCCAATACCAACACATACTTATTCGATTATCCCCTAAATATCAAATTGTGTTTATATAGTGTATATGAGAGAAATATAAACATATTTATTCCCCCAACAAATTAAAAGAATAATTCTTATTTTCTTGGATAACAGATTAATTACTTCCTTTGCAAATCAATATACGTCTCTCCTTTTGAGTTAGACTAAAAGTCATTTGGTCATTTTTCAAGAGCACTAACTTGCCTAACTCATCAATGCATTTCATAAACTCTTGAAGATTAATTAATTTACTTACCAATTACCATGCATGCTGAGTGCTGACCACAAAAATTCTCGAAAATGTTTGACGCAAAAAAAGCTCAAAAATCAATATAAGCATTTTAAGTTTTAACGGATTCGTTACTCATTTTAACATCACAAAACATGTATATGATGCATCATATCACTAAGCTATAGGGCTGTTCAATATGGTGATACCGAACCGAACCGAAATAGATAATATGGTTTGGATTTGGTATATACCATATAAACCGAATGGATATGATTTTATAAAACCGTAGAATTTGGATATGGTTAGGTTTATAACCGATTAAACCGAATAAACCGAACAAAACCGATTAAAGAAAAAATATATAAATATATACATTATATAACCATTTATTTTCTTGTAATAGTCTTTTTATTTTTATTTTTTATACCTTGTGCAGATATATCTTAATAATTTTATTTTATTTTCTTCAACTATTATCTACATTTGATTTGATTTTACATGTTGTAAGAAATTGTGAAATTAGATTGTACCATGTAATTTATTTGAAAGAACAAAGAGAAAATAAGAAAAGCTATACAAAATTGAATCGTTGATCGTTTTGTTTGTTGTTAATTTCACATTTTTATATTTATGAACACCTAGGATTATTTTAATAAATGATAGTTTTGACAATATGTTTTTTTAAAAAAAATCATATAATATGAAACCAAATCAAATAATAATGTTATTTGGTATAAAATCGAATAAACCGAAAACCGGTAGTATAAATACCGAACCAAACCAAATTAAATATGGTTCCAATATGGTAGCTAAATTTTATAAACCGAATAACCGAAAACCGAAAAAAACCGAACCGAAACCGGACCGAACACCAGATCGAACATGCCTTAAGCTATGTAACTGAAATGGTAAACCAAACTAGTAATGCTGCTTAAATCAAAATCAAAGACTCCACATTCAAAAAGGTCAAAGAGATCGCACCGTTTCTAGGAAGTGAGTTAACCTTAAAACGAAAACATATGTGTGGGAAACTGAAATCCAGAAGAACTATATAACTCTCAGTTTTATTTCATCTTTTTTTTTTCTAAATCAGTCTCAGATTTCTTTCTCTTCTTTTTATATTGTTTCCTAAGTCAGTCTTAGATTTTTCTTTTTTTATAAGTCAGTCCCAGATTTATATCTTTAAATCTATTTCTAAAACTAAAGAGTTATCTACAGTTTAGTTAATAAATCCTCAGAGATAAATAAGTCTTAAGACTCCTCTCGGATAGTGAAGTGCAAATCGAGAGCCCAGAGTAGTGGCCAATATCGTTCCCTTTACCTGGAAATTGCAGACCCTCGTCTGTCAACACGACTTTGTCAATACGACGTCTAAGTCCATGAAGATTAAGAAACCAGGTCTTACATTGTTTTTGCTTTTGCTCATTGTCATCACATCTTTAAAAACGTGTTTTGATTGGTCGATAGAAATGAGAGTCATTCTTATTTTCAGACATGTCTTTTCGACCTATTTTAATGATCGGCTGATGAAACTCTTGATCAACGTCGTTTACGATTCGTGAATCCCTTGTTTTTCGTTTTTCCTCATCGACTATTTCGGGATAAATTCAAATTCCAAATCTTGTTATTTTTTTCCGGCCTAGGTTATTACAAACAATCTCCTCCATTTGTGAATATTTTTTTGATGATGATCCCACAAGAGCTTGTTACGTTGACCTAATCTTTATTTTCTTTACGTAACCTTTCGTTTTCAGATTCTCTATGAAAAGCTTATTCAATGGCGTTTTCAAACTCGGAAAGGAGATGGATTTTTCCTCTAGCGATGGCTTGTCTCATGTTCATATTCCTCACAGCTGCATCCTTCAACATGGGTCTCCTCTCTTCCGTACGTTCCATTAACTCACTCTTCTTCTCCTCAAATCTTTCACCTTCCAACGAAACAAACGTCGAGTTTGTAGAGTCAAAAACCAACAACCACACCTCTCCTCCTCCTGTACAGTCTAGTCCTCGCTTTGGTTATCTAGTTTCAGGTTCAAAAGGTGACTTAGAATCTCTATGGAGAGTGTTACGAGCATTGTACCATCCAAGAAACCAATACGTTGTTCATCTCGATCTCGAGTCACCTGCTGAAGAAAGAATCGAGCTAGCTAAACGTGTGAAGGAAGATCCTGTGTTTAACAACGTTGGGAATGTTCACATGATCACAAAGGCTAATCTCGTTACGTATAGAGGACCAACAATGGTTGCTAATACGCTTCATGCATGCGCCATTCTCTTGAAGAAAAGTAAAGATTGGGATTGGTTTATTAATCTTAGTGCCTCGGATTATCCTCTAGTGACTCAAGATGGTACGTACACATAATAGTCTTCTTTTTTTATAATTTGATCATAATTGTTAGTTTTATTTTTTTTTCTTTTCAGATCTTATTCATACATTCACCGGGCTAGACCGGAACCTTAACTTCATCGACTACTCTAGCAAACTAGGCTGGAAAGCGTAATGATTCTTATTATTATTATTATTATAACAAACTACAAACTTTGATATGTGTATTCTTATTATTATAACTAACTACAAACTTTGATATGTGTCTAAAAGAGTAAATGATTGTTTCTTCTTGCAGAGAGAAACGAGCAAAGCCATTGATAATAGACCCGGGGCTTTACTCGACAAAGAAAGCAGATGTCTTCTGGGTTACACCACGTAGAACAATGCCAACTGCATTCAAACTATTCACTGGTAATGAAACTTCACTTGAGTAACAAGAAGAGTTAATGATTATGAAAATTAGTGGCTAAAGTTTATGTGTTTGGATGGAAACTTAAAGGTTCTGCTTGGATGGTTTTATCTCGGTCCTTTGTTGAATATTGCATTTGGGGATGGGACAATCTTCCACGGACACTACTAATGTATTACACCAACTTCCTCTCCACACCAGAAGGATACTTCCAAACCGTTATATGCAATACGCCAGAGTATTCAAGCACGGTGGTTAACCACGACTTGCATTTCATCTCATGGGACCGTCCTCCGAAACAGCATCCTCGGACACTCAACATCAGCGACACGGAGAGGATGATTGCAAGCGGAGCTGTGTTTGCCCGCAAGTTCAAACACAATGATCTTGCTTTAGACAAGATTGATAAAGAGCTGCTAGGTAGAGGTAATGGGGAGTTTACACCTGGTGGTTGGTGTAAAGAGAAACATAAATGCTCCAAGGTTGGTGATCCGTCAAAGATCAATCCTGGTCCTGGAGCTAACCGGTTACAGGAGCTTGTTATCAGACTTGTTTCAACATCTAAAGTGGATGAAAAGAAATGTAGATAGGCTCAGTTACACTTGCTGCTGAATGCGTTAGAGGCGATTTTTTTTGTTTAGATGCTTAAATGTATACTTCTTACTACAATGTGACCAAATAATATACCAAACTCACTTCTTCTCTTTACATAGGAAAACTATTCAAATTATCATCTTATATAGCAGTGTACTAAAAACAGGTCTATGCAGTCCTGTTAGAAATGACGCTAGGCGCTAGTCGGGCGGCTGGTTAGACCTAATGTTTAGCGAGAAAATTGGAAATTAATCAAGAATTACACAAAGAGGATTTTAGATCGTTTAATATGTTATAAAACATGTTAATTTTTTTTTATAAAATTAATACATTTTCATGTTTAAAATTGTATAAAACACATAAATTATCTAAAAAAATAAGATTAAAAATAATTAAAAAATAAATTAGGCAATCATTTAAATAGCTGAGTGGTCATTTAGGCGATTTAGACGAAATAAAATCAAACATCATATTTTAGACTGATTTAGTATAAATTGGGAAGGATGAGTAACGCCTAGACAACTAGGCACCCAATTATTAGAACAGGGCTATGCGGTAATCAGGGGGAAATAACTGAGTTGATATGAGACTCAATTAGATGATGAAATGGTCATATGAGACTCAAACATATGAAGCATGTATATGTCTATAGATATGCAATACACAGCGAGTAACTGGCCTGCAAATTGAGACCTAACTCAGAACAATAGTGCAATAGTGTATGTAGTTGTTTATTTATACCACAAAGAGTTCAACCTTTTACAGCCTATATACAACAAAGTCTATACAACAGGGAGAGAGAGAGAGCTAGAAGAGAAGGAGGCAAAGGATGATGCAAAAAGAGAAGAATATGGATACCCGATTAAGAGACTTCTCAGTCTGCATCATCCTCTGGCTTTGGTAAGGCCGAGCCATTGCGTTTGTGAAGGTTCCAAAAATCCTTGTGTAGACCATATCCCCAAACATCCCAATCACCGGGTAGAGAAGACTCATCATCACAGCATTGGCGAGGTCTGTTGATTCAGTTGTGGCGAAGCGGCCACGTGGGGAGTAGTATTGGTGGTTGTGAAACGCTGGAGACATTGTTTGATGTTGCAATCTTTGGTTCAGAGATGGTTCTGAGGTGATTGGATTGTTTAGTGTTGATGGAGCAGGTCTCCGAGGTATGGACTCTGAGTCTTGTTTAAACGCTGGAGAAGGAGAAGAGATGCCTCTTCCGTAGAGAGGAACCAATGAGGTGATTGCAATGTTGGATTTGCAGACAGGACAGTTGTTCTGGTGGTGATCAGTGGAGAGTGAAGATAACTGAACGTGTAGCCACTTGTAAATGCAAGGCCAGCAGAAAAGGTGTCCGCAGAGAGTGACTACTGGATCAAGTGCTGTGTCTAGACAGATGTTGCAATCAAAACAATCATTTTCGTTAGTTTGTGATTCTGTTGGAACCGTGATGAGATTGGGTTTTGGTTTGATTGTGGAGACATCCTCATGTGTTTGTTGAGCATCAGAGCTGAAGAAGTGTTCTTCCATGGGTGGTAAAATCCTGTTATTGGAACATATAACACAATTTGTCAACTATGAATGTAATAAATGTTAATGCAGAGTCAAAAAAAAAAACTAAATGAAAAAGTGAGACTTTTTTTTTTTTTTTTAAAGATCGTTCCTTTTACAACCAAAGACGAATCCTTTTTTGAATTGACTTGTAAATAATAAATCGTATGCAAATGCAAAGAGATCTCTTTTGCTAAAACCAATAAAGGGATTCAGATTTCAATTCTCTAAAAGAGAATTGAAATCCACAGAGAGGTGAAGAGAACCTACCGAATCTTTTCAGGGGGATTGAATGATGTTACTTCGCTCTACAAATCGACGCGTTTTCAATGATGATGATGATGTGATGAGAGGTTTTAACGATGGTGATAGCTTGACTTCCTCTTCGTCTTTGATTAGTTTTTCTTTTTTTCTTTGATAGCCCGGAAATTTATTAAATATATTAAAACGGGGATAATGGATGTATTTAAAATATCTTACCATCCACTAATAACCGGTTCTGTTCCAACTAATTTTTGTTTTGTTTGTTTGTTTTAAGTTTGTTTTTGTGGATTTGATGAGATCTGTTGTTTCCTTTGGGGGCTTGACCAATCTGTTGTGTCAGGTAAAACAAACAATAACGGTCTCATCAAGACAACAAACGAGGCCATGTTTCTGATTGAAGCTCTTTTTGGGGGCATAGCTGCTGATGGATATATGTTGTTATATATCACATGATTTTGATGTTTGTTATTAAAGATGCTTGCGCTAAATCTTGTGCTCCATTTCCTATATCACATGATTTTGATGTTATCAAATATGCTGATTTGAATCATCTGTCACAAACATGACTTCATTATACCACAAAGGCTAGGACATTATCATGTGTGAAGACAATACTGATGATTCTTGATTTGCAGTTAGTAGAGCTGAATCTTGGTATTTTTTTCTAAACCAAAGGTAGGAGTTAAAAATTTAGCTATCTGATTCACAAAGACGTTGGTGCATGTATGATTGATGCTCTTTTATACAAATAAATTTCTCAACGCTGCTTGATCAGAGTATAAATGGTGCTCTTTAAGCGTAGCTTAAGATGTGGCCAACTTTATTCATTTAATGTGGGTTACTCGCCAAACAGACTCAACGTACACTACCGAAAAATACCTCAATAGAATCAGACATCTAAAAATCCAGAACATCCTCTAGGTTTTTTCATCAGTTAGTACAAAGAGGTCTCATCACAAAGAAGAGATTCAAAGTCTCGGTTCACTCACCACCTGATATATTAAACAGCTTTCTGCTGATTGAGTACACAACAAGAAAAGAGAAATAGTACTTTCACTCACAAGTTATTACCTGAGCAAGTCTTTTGCCAAACTCTGTCTCGGAGACATCCTTTAGTGATGTACGTCTGAAATGGAGGGAATAGTGTACAGAAAAATCGTTCCATTTTTTGTAATTCATCTCATTCATAGTATTCCAAAAGCTTAAAACCAGTTACAGTATTTTTTTCTTAATTTTTAAATTTTTTTTTTTAGTTTTAAATGAAGTATATTAGAAGGCGTATATTAAAAAGTCAAATATATCAAATATCATATATATCTCACATATGTATCTACTAATATAAGCGCAACTAGATTTTGACCCGCGCTTGAAAGCGCGTAAACTTTTTATGATTAAAAATTTATGTAATTGAGTTTTATCTTAATTTAAAGAATTTTTTGGGATAAAACTAATTCACCAAAATTTGTGGTGATAATTGTTATTCATTAGTTTTTAGTTTCAGTTTTTAGTTTTAGATTTTGTTTTAGATTTTGGTTTTTATTTTTTAAGTTTCCATTTTTGATTTTCAGCTATTGGTTTGTGTTTTTAAATTTTAGACCCACTGAGTTAATTTGAACTGATATTACTAACAAACAAATCCCAAATAATCGAACATCTAATTTAAAACTGAAAAGATGACAAACAAATTTTTAAAGAAATTTGCAATAGTTTATTTTGTAAATAAATAAAAGCAAAAAAAAATATAACATGTTTTTTTCAGTTTTTGGTTTTGGATTTTAGTTTTTAGATTTGGTTTTGCTTTACATTTTTTTTTAAATCAGTAAATTATTTAAGAGAAATAAAACAATAAATTATTTAAAAGTTACCATTGAAATTTATCAAAACAAAATGATTGTTATTTAAAATAAAAAAAATACATTAACATGTTTTAAAGTACATGATTTAAATAAATGATTAATAATAGACAATTGTGTTTTGTTTAAAAATATTAAATACCTTTTGGGTTTGAAAATAATAACTGATTTTTTTATATCCATTAAGGTGGAAAGTTTATTCAATGTTTTTGGAGTTTTTCCTTAATAGTAAGCCCAAAAACCAAACCATATAATTTGTTCTAAAAACAAAAGTAAGTCCAAGACTATATCCCATAAATAACCATCGGTTTAATTTAAGTAATGCGGTTCAATTAACTATATGACTTGTATTATTTGTAACACTATAGAAAGAGTTCAAATTTAAATGATAACTTGTATCAGTAGATAAAATGAATAAAATGAATGATTCTATTTTAATAGAGTAGATATGTCAGATTACATACGCCTTATAAAAGCAACATTTCAAATCAATATCCATACAAATTAATCTACAAAACTCATAGTTGTGCCCTCAACATCAAATAATTTTCAATCATACAGAAAAAAAAGAAGATAATACCCCAAAAAGTACGACAAGAGTATAAAACACATAGCATATTGAAAAAAAAACGATTTTTTTGTGGAACAAAGTCCTCTAGTAAGGCAAGGGGGAGGCCTCAGCAGAAGAGGAGTAAAAGAAGTAATAGAATTGAGAGACAATAGCGTTGAAGAAGACGAAGGAAGCACCTGCAGCGAATACTCCCTTACGAAGAGTCTGACAGTCTGGAGGATTGTCCATGAACATTGTCCTATACTTTGTGTGGTATGCATTCTCAACCGATCCAGCTAATAGGCATGTCTCCGCTATCAAGAAGAACATCCTTTTTCGCCAAGAATACAGCAAGCAAAAACCAAAACAACATTTATCAGTTTCAGTATTATAAAGATTGAAGCACAATTGGATTAGTAACCAAATATAATTAGCACGTTAGACATTATAACGGATTAAGATACTTATGTTAGATTTGAACTATATTATTAGTACCATTTTAATTATGATTTTAATATCATGATATACTAATGACATAAAACTAGGACCAATCTTAGATTGTATATGTTTTTGACTGTGGATTTGAATCATATTTGTATTTTTTCATTTTTTGTTTGTTTAAGGTTAGTTAGTTACGTTGGACCGAATCAAAATCACATACTTAGAACCAGTTATATATATATCAAGACTAGCTTAAGCTAATGAATATATACGTGATCGATGAACTATATAAAAACAAAAAGGTAAATATATTACCAGCTGACAACGAAGAGAACGAGGGAAAGAGTTCGTGAACCACCAGGCTTGAGAGGCTTTCCACAGCAGAAGCAACGGCTAACGAGCATGATAAGAAGTTGACTAGCCACTGAGAAGAAAAAGGCTCCAATTCCATACCCTGTGGCTCTGTCAGAATCATACACACAATAGTTGTATTGCACCTCAGTGTCTTGCACAACCGTTGCCTGCCCACCCAAAAAAAAAGAAAAAAGAGATAAAATAATCATCATTTTGCTCAATGGGCATGCGTTTAATTAAATACTTACAGTGCTTCGTCTTTGTTCAGCAGCAACGGCTAGACCAAAGGCAACGAGGTTGAATACAAAGACTATAGCTGAGACAATCTTAGACGCCATGGTTTCGCCTTACTCTCGCTCTCTTTCACAAAATGTTTCTTTGGATATAAAGACAACTTTGTTTGCTTCAGATTTGATCATCTCCCCTAATGGATAAAGACACATTACCATTTCTTTGAAGTGGGTATCTCACCTTTTTCTTTATTTATTCTTATGGTTCAATAAAAACTACTTTTAATTCTTCGAAAAGTTTAATGGATGGTAGTTGAGGATGCAGCGTAGTGCTAAAGGTAAACACATGAGCTTCCTTGTGGGAGAAGTCTTTTGTTGTTTATAGCAACAAGAAAAAAGAGATCATTGTTTTTTTTTCAAAGTAAAACTTCTTTGAAATTAACGTGATAGAATCAAAGTTTTATTTTTATATTTGATCGTTTTCAAAATGGAAAACAGCTTGAAAAATGCCTAGAAACGTGAAAAGATATAACGTGGGAATCAGATTCCCACTTGATTGGAACATGTTACCGATATAAAAGACTTAAAATGAAATAAAAGAGTAGAAAAGAAGAAATGCTTATAGAAATTCTAGTTGGATGTGTAATGGCGAAGACTTCTTCATCAATCTAACATAACGAATGCTTAAATCCGAAGAATCATTAACAGTTAACCTAATCATCTACAGAATACTGTATAGGTTCATTATATGAATGAACTCCAATACTCTAATATTTTTTTCTCTGTAAAACTCTTCTTCCTACTCTGTTCGTATTGTTTATCGTACTGATCAGCTATCACCATTCAATTACTTTAGGTGCAAAAATCCAAATTATCTTTATTTTATTCGAACTCACGAAACAAAATTTTATACACTTCACTGTTATAAGAAAACACATCAACAATGATATATAAACAGCTAAAATCCATATAAGACCACAGGTTTTATTATTAGTTTTTGTTTATGTAAATTATATTGGTAACATTCTTTCAAACTCTAGAGACTCTTGTAAATAACTTGTTCTTATTCAATCAATAGATTTAACATTTTAAAAGATGTTACTTACATATATATTTGGCATCCTAAAAATTAAAATAAGGAAAACAAAACCTATCTGCATTTCTAATATTTTCCAGTACAAAATGTTATCATAAACATATACATATCACCTTCTTGGGGAGATGGGAGTAGATGAGTTGTTGGTACTAGAAGAAAGAGGTCCGACATACGAAGCTGTATCTCGTCTACACATCCTCGACACAACTTCGGAGGCGACTTGTAAAATCTCCCCGGTGAACTCAAGCAGTGGCTTTCGGACAAATCGCGCCAATAGTCCCAGAAGACCTACCATCATCATCCCCGTCTCTGCAATCATTTTTTAAAATCTTTTTTCTGATTTGGTACCCCTAATTTTTTCGGTAGTATAAATTCAACACGTGAGAAAATTGATGGTTATACACTTGTGAGGGATATGTAGAACTGTAGAGTGGCCATAAAAGGTTTTGTCTGTTTCTTGATTTCACGTGGGGAGTGGCCATAAAAGGTTTTGTCTGTTTTGTGGCCATAAAATGTTATCATAAACATATACATATCACCTTCTTGGGGAGATGGGAGTAGATGAGTTGTGAATGAACTCCAATACTCTAATATTTTTTTCTTTGTAAACTATTCTTCCTACTCTTCTCGTATAGTTAATCGTACTGATCAGCTATCACCATTCAATTACTTTAGTTGCATAAATCCAAATTATCTTTTACTCACTAAACAAAATTTTATAGACTTCCATGTTATAAAAACACATCAAAATTTTATAGACTTCAATGTTAACCACGCTAAAGTGGCCGAGTGGTAACGACCTGCAAAGTCCACCATTCAAGGAGACGCGGGTTCGAATGTAGACCATATCGAATGTCACAGCATGGCCAAGGAATGTTTACGCCACTTAAAGGTATCAGCAAAGGCTGGCTCCAGATCTAGGGTGATTAAGGGTCCTCGGCCTGAAACATCCTAGTTAAAAAAAAAATAATAATAATAATAATAATAATAATAATAATAATAATAAAACACATCAAGAACGATATATAAACAACCAAAGTTCATAGAAACCGAAACAGAATATAATAGCACACATGGAAAACTGTAAAGCATAAAGAGAAAAATATTAAACCGGCTTTTCAACCGAACTTAACACAACGTCGTTGTAATGTTCGGATCTAAAGTACTTTTATGAAAGAACTTGCATATTAACTTATTCCCTGGAGTTGTCCAAGAAAATCCTTATTCCTTGGATCTGAAGTAGTCTAGAGAAGCGTCCACTTTTTGTAAACGCCTTATCTAGCCATGCGGGATTTTCTCCACGAGAAACAAGTTCCATGGATGGAGAGTATTCATTTGGACACTAACTTAGGTGGATCAGCTTTAGGTGAAACACGAGATATCACTAATAAGGACTCATAAACTTGTGTTCGGGAAGCTAATTCTCCCCACAAGGCCACAAAGATGATGACCCGGTGGTCATGTATGGAACGCTCATCTCTCTTATTGATACATGACCACCCCTTTTGTTATTAGTTTTTGTTTATGTAAATTATGTTGGTAACATTCTTTCAAACTCTGGTAAACAACTTGTTCTTGTTCAATCAATAGATTTAACATTTTAAAAGATGTTACTTACATATGTATTTGGCATCCTAAAAATTGAAATAAGGAAAACAAAACCTATCTGCATCCCTAATATTTTCCAGTACAAAATGTTATCATAAACATATACATATCACCTTCTTGGGGAGATGGGAGGAGATGAGTTGTTGGTACTAGAAGAAAGAGGTCCGACATACGAAGCTGTATCGCGTCTACACATCCTCGACACAACTTCGGAGGCGACTTGTAAAATCTCCCCGGTGAACTCAAGCAGTGGCTTTCTGACAAACCGCGCCCATAGTCCCAGGACACCTACCATCACCATCCCCGTTTCTGCAATCATTTTTTTTTAATCTTTTTCTGATTTGGATTCCCCTAATTTTTTCGGTAGTATAAATTCAACACGTGAGAAAATTGATGGTTATACACTTGTGAGGGATATGTAAAACTGTAGAGCAGAGAGTGGCCATAAAACGTTTTGTCTGTTTTCTTGATTTCACGTGGGGGTTGCAACCCCCAGAAGTAGTGCTTAGCTAACGGTCATTGGAGAAATTTCAAAACTCTCTGTTTAGACAAGAGGGTTAGGCTTGGGTTTTGTTTATGGAAACTCGATATTTGGCATGAATGGAGCAAGTTTTCGTCAGTTAAACATTGGGGATAAAATATTCTACAAATAATTGATTTTCATAGAGCCATAGAAAATTAAGAGTGGATGATTATTTGTAGTTTCGGAAATAGTTAAAAGACACAACTATTTCTACTATATATCTATCTCCTTGGTCTTCACTTTTGTTTTTTTGAACTGTGATCTTCATGTTTAAAGACCGGTTAACATTCCATTTTTTTTTTTTTGAAAAGTATTAAGTATGATAAAAAGATTATTAACTGTACATTTATCGAAGTTTAGAATATTGATTTTTGAATTTGTAAATATATTCTACAGTGAAATTAAATATAGAACCAATTTTAGTTATATTACGTACTTTCAACTATAACACAATGGGAGTGATTAATTGGGATATAAAACTTTCTTTAGCTTTAGTTTTTTTTGCTATATTCTTTGAAACTACCTATCATGCTTCAAGTTAATTTTAAAAATTACAATAAAAAGACGGAGGTAAAACCCTTATTAATTAAATTAATATTTTATCTGTTGTAGAAAAAATATACAGCAGTCAAAATATATTTCTATTATCTTTATTTTGTCTGTTAAGATCCAATCACTTCTCCGACCTGTAATCTTGAGCTCTAACTAACTCTCAAAGTGTTTAACCTCTCAATCTCTCTCGCTCTCGTTTGCAACCAAGAAACTAAAGAGAAAGGAACAACACACACAGATTTGTTATCCTAGTTCGATCCTCCCTTGAGGCTATCTACGTCTGGGTGCTTGACGGCACAAGCAAACGTCTCACTAAATCACTCCAAGAGAAAGTACACAAGATGACTCAAGAACTTATAGAAAGCAACAAGTATAAAGCCCTCTTCTATCTTTCACTCTCTGATACTAATGAAATCGTTTTCTTCTGATGATCTTGATGAACTCCTTCTCCACTCTTATATATAGAGCAGACCGGTACACGCATTAAAGCCGACTCCAATAACCAACCCGGTTATAACCACCTCTAAGTTGTACCAAGCATTTAATAAGCCAATCCGGTTTACTAACTACTTCCAACCGATATTGTTGAATGTCACACTCTCAACAATCTCCACCTTGACATCAACAATAGTGTTCATCCCTCATGCCGTCAAACACATCTGTGCATTTAGCACTGAGCTACTCCGAGGTCAACAAGCGCTTGATCAAACTTGTTACTCGGAATAACCTTAGTCAACATATCTGCAGGGTTCTTAGAAGTATGAACCTTCTTGATCTCTACTTCTCCAGCTTCTAACAGCTCTCTCACAAAACTCATCTTCAGAGCTACATGTTTAGACACTGTCACATGCTTCGTTCTATCGTGAAAAACATTGTTCTTCGCCAAACAAATTGCACTCTGAGAATCACACCCAATCACAACTCTTCCTGACTGAACGTATCCCAATTCCTCAGTTAAGCCTCTTAGCCACAAACCCTCCTTGATAGCTTCCACCAATGATATATACTCGGCCTCTGTTGAAGATAACGCCACCACTTGTTGCAGACCAGACTTCCAACTAACCGTGTTAGTACCAACCTTGAAAACAAAACCTGTCGTAGATCTTCTGCGATCAAGATCTCCCCCAAAATCTGAATCTGACCATCCTTCAACACTGAATTCTTTTTCTGTACTCTTCTGAAACTTCAAGCCAAAATCTTGAGTTCTTACCAAATACCTCAATATCCATTGCACTGCAGACCAATGCTCTTCCCCTGGATTACTCATAAAACGACTCACCAATCCTACTCCGAATGCTAGATCAGGCCTTGTACTTATCATGGCATACATAATGCTGCCAACTGCATTCGCGTATGGAACTTCATCATCTGACCCAGCAAAACCTAGTTCTCCATCCTTTAAAGCCACCAATTTAAACTGTGCTCCAATAGGTGTTGAAACAGACTTAGCTTCTCCCATTCTAAACACTTGTAGAATCTTCTTCACATACTTTGATTGAGTTAAAGTAAGTACACCTGCCTTTCTGTCTCTCATGATCTCCATTCCAAGTATCCTCTTTGCTGGACCAAGATCCTTCATATCAAAACCTTCGCTGAGCATCTTCTTTACCTGCTTGATATCTGAAATTCTCTTTGCTACAAGCAACATATCATCTACGTAGATAAGTAAGTAGATATAGTCACCTTCACTGATCTTCTTCAAATACACACATAGATCAAACTCGCTCTTCTTAAAACCATTCTTCAGCATAAACGTATCAAAACATTTATTCCACTGACGTGGTGCTTGCTTCAATCCGTAGAGCGATTTTACCAGCTTACATACTCTGCCTTCTTGTCCTTCCTCTATGTATCCCTCAGGCTGTTCCATGTATATGTCTTCGTCTATAGTACCATGCAGAAATGCAGTTTTTACGTCGAGCTGCTCCAGCTCTAAATCTTGATCAACTACTATAGACAGCATCACACGAATTGAAACGTGTTTAACAACCGGAGAGAAGATTTCTTGATAGTCAATCCCTTCCTTTTGAGAATAGCCTTTGGCTACCAACCTTGCTTTATATCTCGGCTCTTCAACTCCAGGAATACCAGGTTTCCGTTTATAGATCCATCTACATCCAATAGCCTTCTTGTCTTTTGGTAACCTCGTGAGAAACCACGTCTTATTCTTCTTCAAAGACTCCATCTCATCATCCATTCCTGCACTCCACTTCTTCCAGTCCTTGCTTCTTACTGCTTCTTCATAACTATTTGGTTCTTCAGAGTCAATAATCTCTGCAACTGATAGTGCAAAAGCTACTTCCGAGTCCTCTGTAAACCTAGCTGGTTTCACTATCACCCTGCGAACTCTATCTCTAGCCAACTGATAGTTACTCAAGTCTTCAACCTCTTGTGTATCTTGTTGATCTTCTTCCTGAACTATCTCTGTAACTCCACCTTCATCTTGACTCTCCTCAGACGTACCAGAAACCTCTGCTACTTCTACTGTGCTTCTGTTTCCTTCATTCGTACCTGTAACACCAGTCTCAGACTCCACATCCTTATCTCCATGAAGATCTTTATACATTAGATCCTCTCTGAACACTGCATTTCGACTTATAATACACTTCCGATCTTCTATAATCCATACTCTATATCCCTTTACTCCAGTAGGATAACCTATGAATACTCCTTTTAGAGCTCTTGGTTTAAGCTTCCCTTGATCAATATGCACATAAACAATGCAACCAAATCTCCTCAGATGTCTGTAACCCGGTATCTTTCCCAACCACAGTTCTTCAGGGATGTTGAAGTCATTCGCTGACGAAGGATAACGATTAATGATGTACACTGCTGTAGCCACAGCCTCAGCCCAAAATTTCTCTTCCAATCCAGACTCATTTAGTAAACATCGAACCTTTTCCATCACAGTTCGATTCATGCGCTCTGCGACTCCGTTCTGTTGTGGAGTGTAGGTGCACGTCCGATGTCTCTCTATACCTTGCTGCTTACAAAAATTGTCAAATGCAAGATTACAAAATTCTAAGCCATTATCAGTTCTAAGACACTTAACCTTCTTATTCACCTGATTCTCTACCAGTACTTTCCATTCACAGAATTTAGAGAAAGCTTCATCCTTAGTAGCTAGAAAATAAACCCATACTTTCCTAGTGTAATCATCTATGATTGACATAAAGTATTGTTTCCTAGCTAATGACATTTGCACATTAGAAGATCCCCAAAGATCAGAATGCACATACCTCAGTACCTCTGCACTGTTATGTTTACCTACATTGAAGCTGAGCCTTTTATTCTTACCCATGATGCAGCTCTCGCAGAACTCCATATCACTGATATGTTTCTTATCTAAGGCACCCTTCTCTGCCAGTAGCTTCAGGTTCTTGACACTTGTGTGTGCAAGTCTACTATGCCACAATGCCGTGTCATCTTTTGTTGTTGCCACAAATGCTGTAGCTTTCACTGTGTCTCCGTCTAGAAGATACAGACTCCCACATAAAGTACCTTGCAGAGCCAGCCTTCCATTCTTGTAGAATGAGGTCTTTCCAGCTCCACCTTCTTGCTTAAATCCCTGCAAATCAAGTGTGCTTACTGAAATTAAGTTCCTTTTAAGGTTAGGAACATACCTGACATTGGTGAGACATTTAACGGTTCCTCCTGTAGCACTAATTCTGATTGTGCCAACACCTTGTACCGTTACAGCTCTATCATCAGCTAGTAAAACTTGACCTCCTGCATTCTCTGTGAACTCTGTAAACCATTCACGTCTGGAGGTCATGTGATAAGAGCACCCGGAGTCTATTATCCATCTATCACGCGGATCCTGCTCTGAAATAGTCAAAGCATCTACTTCGTGTAACTTGTCTACCATCACTGCTGCTTCACCATTATCCTCAGACTCCATTTTCTTCTTTCTGGCGAAGCAATCCTTCTTGATATGACCCTCTTTCTTGCAGTACCAACAGGTTAGCTTTGATCTCGACCTTGACCTTGACTTACTTGAGCCCTTTCCTCTGTAGTTTTCTCTCTTCTCAGGTCTACCTCGAGTAAAATACGCATCACCTGGCCTCTGTGAAAGTGCAGAATCTTTCACATCTTTAAGTTCAATCTCTTTTGACTTTGCAGCGTTAGTGACATCCTCAATAGTCAGTGTGTCTCTTCCATATTTCAATGTTTCTTTCAGCTGATTGTAAGGCGTTGGTAGCGAACTTAGCAACAAAATTGCTTGAACCTCCTCTGAAACAGAAACATTCACACTGCTTAACCCGGAAACTAATTTCAAGAAATCATCTATGTTCTCATCTATAGATTTAGAGTCTAGCATCTTAAACGTATAGAACTTATGCTGTAGATGAATCCTATTAGGTAGAGTTTTAGAATTATACAACCTTTCAAGTGCAGACCAGATCGTCGCCGCCGTTGTATATTCCTCTAGCTTCCGTAACACATGATCGCCGAGATTCAAGATGATCATGTTCATCGCTTTCTCAGCCTTCTCCGCCTTTTCAGTTTCGAGTTTCTTGACTCGTTCTTTGTAATCTTCCTCATCTTCGTCCTTCTTCATCGGAACATTCGATTCCGACGTCACCGGAGCTTCGATCAAAGCTTCCTTCAATCCGAGAATTGACAGATGAGCTAACATACGCTTCTTCCACATCGAGAAATCCCCTTGACCGTCAAAACACGCGATCTTAATCTTCGCCATCGATTCCTTCATTGAAGGAACCTGGCTCTGATACCAATTTGTTAAGATCCAATCACTTCTCCGACCTGTAATCTTGAGCTCTAACTAACTCTCAAAGTGTTTAACCTCTCAATCTCTCTCGCTCTCGTTTGCAACCAAGAAACTAAAGAGAAAGGAACAACACACACAGATTTGTTATCCTAGTTCGATCCTCCCTTGAGGCTATCTACGTCTGGGTGCTTGACGGCACAAGCAAACGTTTCACTAAATCACTCCAAGAGAAAGTACAAAAGATGACTCAAGAACTTATACAAAGCAACAAGTATAAAGCCTTCTTCTATCTTTCACTCTCTGATACTAATGAAATCGTTTTCTTCTGATGATCTTGATGAACTCCTTCTCCACTCTTATATATAGAGCAGACCGGTACACGCATTAAAGCCGACTCCAATAACCAACCCGGTTATAACCACCTCTAAGTTGTACCAAGCATTTAATAAGCCAATCCGGTTTACTAACTACTTCCAACCGATATTTTTGAATGTCACACTCTCAACATTGTCACTTAATTTTTACAGGTTTAACAGAAACATCTACAGTAAAAGAAAATTGACAAACTAAATTTAAAACAACATCCCAACCCATTACCCCTACAAATAAATATGGGATTTAAATCAAACATAGATAATAATTGATTGATCATATTTTATAAATAATTGGTCCCAAAAATCAAGTGAATGTAATCATTTTTATTAGTTTTGTTTTGTTTCGTTTCTTTCTTGTTCCTATCTTTATCTTTTATTGAGTACTAGATTTTTTTTCCGCGCTACGCGCGGATAATTAATTTTGAAATTTTATACTCCAGTTTTCACTTTTTAGCGCCTAACATACATACAATATAAGAACAGATATGAAGTGCATTGATTTTGGTTGTTTAAACGTTGGATGTATTTTCTCTTGGCCATTTCTAAACTGTAATAAGATTTTGTATTATACGTTTGTCAAAATACCAAGACTAAGTTCAGAATAAATAGATAGAAATGTCGAAATGTTGAATTTAGATGAATTTTCTTAAAAATCATCTTTTGAGTTGTATTTCTTTTTCTTTTACTTGAACTCATGCATTAAAGTTGACTCTTATCTTAATTCTAAAGTTTTTGTTGATTTTTTATTGTGTTATCAAAGTAAAACTGCGTTGTCGATGAAAAAACGAACATTAGCTTCCCTATAATAAGAGGTATTATTCGTATAGTATTGCATTTAATTTTTTTTTATACTTTTATATTTTTCTGGATAATGTAGAACTCATATTTCTAATTATTTATGCTTTGCAACTCCCTAAACATATGCTTGGTTGTTTTTATAGTGAAAGCCTTATAATCATTAATCAATAATATAATTATATATAAGGTAGAACATATGTTGGAAATATAAATATTGTATTTCACATGTACTTGTTTTAAAGAAACTAACTATGAGTTTTGTTGTAACTTCTTGATCGTGGCGTTAAATTCCTTGCATCATATTTCTCAATACATTTGATATAGCTTGCGTGATTAGTTGACCATTTTTAATTTATTTTGTGTGGGAAAATTGGCAAGATGTTTTAAAACATGCGAATTTAGATGTTAAACACAAAGATATTGTCTTATTGGATCAAGGATTTGAGCGGCTTTTTTTTTTCTTTTCAAATCTCTTTTTATTGTATCCATCATTTCTAAATTCTATATGAAATCCAAACTGATTGGATTAGTCATTTGTATAAGTTCTCCCAAATTCCAGCTTATTAGAAAATATGAATTTTGTTAAAAAGAAAATCTATCAAATGGGATTTGGTGGGTTTTGGATGATATTTTATAGTGAGAAACAATATAATCAAATACCACTTCCTATGATAGTGTTTGAATTTTTTTTTTTTAAAAAGAAGAAAGTAAAAGTAAAAAAAAAACAAAAAAAAAAACAAATTGTTTGAAATGGAAAAAACAATTTTTCCAAAATCAGTTTTAATATTTTTAGATATTTCATAAAACGATAATAATAGCAAAGTATAGTAATTTCAAAATCAATATGTTATTTTACATAAATATTTAAAATTTTAAAGTTATTTTTATATTTTCGTACGGTGTTTGCATTTCATTTTTAATTTATTTTGTTTGGGAAATTGGCAACATGCGAATTTAGATGTTAAATACAAAGATATTGTCTTATTGGATCAAGGATTTGAGCGGATTTTGTTTTTTTCATATATATTTTATTGTATCTATCATTTCTAAATTCTATATGAAATCCAAACTTATTTGATTAGTCATTTGTATAAGTTCTCCCAAATTCCAGCTTATTAGAAAATATGGATTTTGTTAAAAACAAATCTATCAAATGGGACTTGGTGGGTTTTGGATGATATTTTATAGTGAAAACAATATAGTCAAATACCACTTCCTATAATAGTGTTTGAAACTTAAAAAAAAAAAGAGTAAAAGTAAAAAAAAAATTACTTTTCCTTTAAAAAAAAACTAAATTATTTGAAATGGTAAAAAACATTTTTCCAAAATCATTTTTAATATTTTTTATATATTTCATAAAAAGATAATAATAGCAAAGTATAGTAATTTTCAAAATCAATCTGTTATTTTAAATAAATAATTAAAATTTTTTCGTTTTTTATATTTTCATACGGTGTTTGCATTTTATTTATATAGTATTTTTCCTCTTAAACTTCTAACAACGCAGTGCGGAAAAAAAATTTGTTGTTGTTGTAGTGAATACTTACTTTAGAAATATTGTATATAGTAATTTAACTTGAGATTTTATTTTTATGAACCTTTATATATTTCTAGATTAATTTGTGTTACCAGTATGACTTTGTTTTATCTAATACACATTGGCCGAGTGAATAAGTTAACTTGAAAGCTTTCAGTCCTTTATGCTCATTGTTTGTTTGAAAATAGTCGCTTATTAATCCCATACGAAGAGAGGTATAAATGTTGACATATAATATCTTTTTAATATGAGAGCTTTCTGGGTGACTATTTTGTCTGTAAAATCTTTTTTTTTTTTTTTTGTGTATACTTGTTTATAAGTAAACTTATTACAACGTTTATTTTATCTTATGATTTTGGAATATATTCTTTGTATGATGCGTATTGGCAAAACCGGTGTACATGTTTTCAAGAACAACCAGATATAAGGTTTTGAGGTTGTATTTTGTTTTTTGTGTTATTGTCTTCCTGTACATACTTCCAATCTTGCAGTCAAAATGATTTATGGCACTTGGTTTTGCATGGTATATTGATATCACTGCGATGATGACTTTAAGCCTATATCTTTCCGGTTTTCTCCAGCTCTGTTTCTATTTCTTTGAGTTAGCGACACTGGCTATTACAGGCGATTGACTTAAATTTGGAACCCAATAATATGCAAGAGTGATTGAAAGGAAAAATAAAGGGAAATTAATTACTATTTATCATCATAGTGAAACATGACGGCTCTGATACTATAAATGAGATAAGGAGTTGCTTTTAGTTTAAGAGGAATAAAGCCTTGAATCGCCCTGAAGGAATAAAGCTTTTACATTAATGAGGAATCAGAAAATAAACTAACTCCTTATCTCATTTATAAAACCGACTCCTTACTACTAAAAGCAATTAAGAAGAATGATGTACAAACGAATGATTTAAGAAGAGTAGCTATAATACCAATCTGCGAGTTATCCCTCATGATGTCACAATGATATGGTTTTAGTATATATCCTAGCAAAATCATGTATGTTCAATGACTAAACCAAGACGGATGGAACATAAACCGGTCTAAACCGAGGGGGTCGTCATTGAGATCAAAACTTTGATCCAAATTTCTGGTACACCTGAACGTAGAGGAATAAGATCCGAGTATAATAGTGTTCACGATCAGGAAGACTTGTGCTTTCCACTTCTGCTTCTTAATTTCCTCATTCAAAATTTTCTTTTTTACATGTTCACGAAAGATTCCAATTTTTCATTTATGCAAATGCATTTAGTCCATCAACTCCTCTTATTATTCCATGATTGGGTCTGTTTATATTGGTCATTCATCTATTCAAAGTATACTCTTCTAGTTTTCTTTTGAATTTTTATATCCCCTTTTTCAGTACTGTGTAAAATTTTGTCATCAGTCATGCTCTCACACTTGAATTTTCCCGTATGCCACCAAAGATTTTAAGATTTTTCTTTAATGTCCAGGAAGACCATATCCTCGTCTTGCTGAAACCATTTTTTTATGCAAGTTAACTTTTCAGCTGGTTTTTTTTTGTGTTCATCTTTCAGTACCATTCACAAATTTCATGTCACCGGGACTGTAGTTTAAAAACTCCATCGCCAAAACGCAACCTGTAAAAGAAAAGAAATCAAAACAACCACACACAGAAAACATATAAATACATAATGAGAAACGAAAATTAGTAAACAAAAACGGAATAAAATGAAAGAACATAACTTTCCTTGTACCTTCTGCTCTCTCCTAAGCCTCTCGCAGTTCTCATCCTTTGCAACTGTACAATCGTAGATGGTGCGGCTTTTAGGGTAATGGATACGGAATGGCCTCTCATACGGATGTGACGCAAGGTCCAAGGAAAGTTACTCATGCAATGAGGTCGGTGGTAAAGCATTATCTACTTCTTGTAAATCTACATCTTCCGGTGATGATGGATGAGCTGCTTTGAAGCATAGCCTTTTTGAAGAACTAAAAATCCAAGAGCGTAGGATAAGTAAAGCAGCTTTTCCAAATCATTTAGACCCCTAGGGAAAATGAAGAAGAAACTAAAACAGCAACCAAATATAAAATCAAAGTTCAGAAAATGACTTCAGCCAAGTAAAACAGTAACCATCTATGTTTCCATATTTTGGCAGTTATCAGTCCGACTAATTAAAAGATCAAAGCATCAACTTGAAAAAGAAGATGAATGAAGCCAAAACTCGTGGGAACATATGAAGAGAGAATATGTGATGCTTCGGTTACAAACAAATTGTCAACATGCTTATTTATATGTAAGGGACACCTGTGATCTTAGGGTGTTGCAAGAAAATTAAGAAGATAGTAACTTAATTATATCAACAACCTGTTTTAGATAAAAGCTTTTCGATGAAAAAGCTGGTTTACTTTATAAAGTAAGATTTAGTTACCTACAGTCATTCAGCATACTCACCTTCGGACCAATGAGAACCGCCAAGTGCCTGATCGTTTCTCTCATCCTTTAATAAGAAAAGAACACAGTAAGAAATCAATATACAAAAGAAAATCACCAAGTTACAACAGAAGCTGACATTGGTGTAAGAATGAGAAAATGAATCATGAGTTAATTTGATCAATGAATCTTCTTTTAGAAATTCATAGATATGCTACACCAAAGACAACTGATTTTCTCCATGTTAACCTACGATGGTGCTCTATGTACACCCCTTGGTTAGTAATAGTAGTAGGGAAGACATATACATGCGGCTAAGAGAAATTATGAAGTAGTATCTTTTTCTTTCAGGTCAGTTTCTCCCTCCAGCTTACCTACATCCTCATCTGCTTAGAAATATTACCAAGTTGGTAAACAAATGTTTAAATCATTCTCAAATTTTGATGGTAATGAATCTCCTTATTTTCAGAGTTTAGGTTAATGACTAAATGGATTTAGATTTTTTAAGGTTACCTTATTATTAGGTGAGGACGATAGTCAAGTTCATCTCCAATATCTTATTCTTCTTACTTCTTTCTAGACATATTTCTCCTCGCTTGTTGCCGCTTGTCTTTGTGTCGTCTACGAAGCAAATCTCTGAGAAGTTGTTTTTTAGATTGTAAACAGAAAACATATCAAAACCAAGTTAGTATCGTGAAGATCTACTAACCCGTGCAGCGATGGAATCGAAGGAGGTAAATTAGGCTTCGGGACAGCTAGCAAATCGGTGGTGGCGCCGTTGTGGAGGGAAGGAGGAGACGGCAGCGTCTAGATCCCAACGGTGACTTTCGAGGAAGATAGAAGCTTCTTCTCTTGATGAAGACGTGATCTCGAGGATGGAACTGATCAGATTCGCGAGAACCAAGAGGAGGAGAAGTTGGGTAGCGATTGAAAATTGAAAAGTTACGAAGATTAAGGTGGAAGTGGAAAAGGCCAGAAGGTTGTAAGAAATACGGCGACCAAAACTGAAAAAAAAAGAATTATGTTAATATTGGGTTACATGCGACAGTTGGCGTTTTCCTATTCGTTGAATATTTAATCCAACGTGGACATGTCCAGAGTTGAGCATATCGCCCTTTTAATATTGTAAGATATGCAAATAGAATGAGAGTTGCTACTAACTAGGATTGAAAGAAAGTGTAGTTAATATGTTGCGTGTTGTGTAATTATGCCAAGTCAAAGTGGGATTTGGCTGCTCGTGTTGTGTAAGAGCATGTACATCAATGAACCCCCTCTTGGGGTTCATATGTATTGTTTATTAATTTATTGATGAGACCATGAATAGTGATGAATCCAAATCAATTGTGCTCTTCCATTAATGAACCGGAAGCCGGGGTTCATAAGAATAAAATAATATATTTTTTTGAAAAATAAAGTAATTTTTAAAATTGTTGAAAAGTTATTATTCATTATAATGAGAATTTTTGAACTAAAAAAAAAATTAATGCATGCTAGAAAAAAAATTATTCAATAATTGAGAATTCATTATATATGTTGACAACATGGGCAATGGATTTTTTTTTTCAATCATTTTCATATAACAAAGTATCTCTGATCATAAGTATAGCCTGAGAGAAGCCAAAAGATAACTGAATTATTTTTTCAAAATTATTGAACAACATTAGTATACTTCATAGTCTTAAACGGCTGATCAGGATAGCGAGGTACTCTATTATATCTTGGAACATACCTGTTTTATAAAATCTGCATTCAAGCAATTAATTACTACGGGTGGATCAATTTTCCCATCATCTTGCAACTCCAACACAATCTGCAATTAAACAATGCAGAGAGAATAAATGTTAAGACTTGTCAAAGGGAGAATAACAGTGAACACTTTGTATCAAAAGAGCAGTCCACTTACATGTTGGTTTAAAACTTGTCCATTGTTGTCTGTATCAGTGACATACTGACTACACCTCTCATCCTTCCATATCAACACCAGAGGAGTATTCCCAGTATGATAATGTGCATGTCTGCGACAAATTTACATGAGAACTTAAGTAGATGTTGCTGCATAACTATTGGCCAGAAACAAAATGGCATGGAAAATAAAATTTATATACATCACTATTAGACATAAACTTTGTCTAACTTTTGGTTACTGAAGCAAACTAAATGGCATTCTATAAGTAGGAGAGATGAAGTGATGCACTTACTTGTTATAGAACAACAATCCATCCTTGATCGCAGTCATGGTCCCAACTCAAGATCCCAAAGTGACAGCATCTTTGCCATATATACGTTGAAGTTCAAGGCTAGCGACTTGATATGATGCTGGGAACAGAAAATAAGTAGAACAAAACTTTACAGCTGCTAATATCTATAACTAGAATGTCTTATGTTTTCAATATTACCTTTCCAGGCGTTGAAATTTTTGTGGTTGATATCAGATCCTGTTACAATTTGAATAGCATCAAACAACTTCTCCTGAGGTGTATTCTTGAGCTCTTGAACAACTCCATAAATAGTCTTTCCATTCTCAAAGTATATGTGATTGTTTGGGTGCTTTGTCTTGCAATTAGCATGCTGCTCAAACTCATACGCATTACCTGTTTTGCACAGTTCATTAACATAAGACATAGATTTTGCATTAAACATACCATTCTTATCACGTTGCTTACTTTATTAAGGTTATAGTTTCTGCAACCACATAGATACCCAGTCCCCTTTATAATGACTTAACATTCCTGTTACTCTCAACTAAATGATCCCTATAAGCTGAGTGGAGTCTGCCTTGGTCGCAGTTATAAAAAGGAACAACACTGAACTTAAACCTATGGTAAAAAGAAGGCGGATCACAAGCACCAGTCTCGTCAGGTTTTGACTGCAACCAAAAGAACCTGAACTCTGCTGTACATTCATAAAGCGAGTAACCCCTTCAACAAACCATATCAATCACATAATACGTCTGATCCAACTACATACAAAAAAAGTACCAAACCACTTAGTATATGATCAGAAACAAAGATAATTACAAACCAATAAAAGGAAGAATCTTTAAACCTCGTGAAATATACAATCAAGTATTGAATATGATTGTACTGGACCAGAATTTTTAACACATAAGCCAATATTTTAAAACAAAATCTTTATAAAAAAATTCATAACCTAGATATTTTTTGAACACTGAAACCAAACAAAAAGTTATCAACTTTGTAAAGACAAAACTAAATCGAACAAGAGGGCATTACCAATCTCTGCTTAGATTCTCAGGAACATCGATCATCCACTCAGGTAACATTAACTGACTCGCGAACCGCTTGCGAGCTTCAGGTCCTCTGTGACTCGAAGCTTGGCGAATGTTAAAGCTATTAGCTTCCGATTCGTTTCCGGTAGTGTCGATATCAGGCATGGGTTCGGATAGTTCTTCCGGGTCGACATTGGGGGAAGATGGTGATTGGAGAGAGATTACGGAAGAGGCGAGGTTTCGAGCTGATTGATGTCCGTCGGAGGTGTTGAGACTGACGGAGAAGAGAAAGTTCTCGGCGTTTCTGTTGATGGGAGGTCCAATCGATGCTTCACACGTGGTGTGAACCCGTATCATACGGTATCACTCCCACGAACCGGATCACAGAAAAGGCCCATTTATTTCTTTTTTTTTAATCCGAAAAGCAGTGAACCTCAACCCATGAACCCCTTTAAAACTCTCAATGCACATGCTCTAAGCATATATATCAAGCTCCAATGAGAAAAATGAAATCTAATTGTTAAAGTTCTCAGTAGTTGTAAGAGGGATTACCTATATTAGCTAGTTTCCATTCAAATAAGACTTTATAAAATGAAGGTTTGGACCTCTCTATTCAATCAAAAAGGTCTAAGCACTAATAAATTAAACTTTAATAGATAAATTTCAGTCAATACAAACACATGTCCTTAGAGTAAAGATCCCACCAGATTCATGATAAATGTAAAATGTTACTTTATGCTTCCACTTTACATTAAAACAATCTATTAGTATTTGCTTTTAATTATATACAAATAATCTCGGATCAAAGTCTATTACCCAAGTACCCAAAACCATGCCATTACCAATACTGTAGTTGCAATGGAGCTATTGAAAATCTTTTTTTTTTTCTCGAGAGACTATTGAAAATCTTATGTTCAAATGTGGCCGCTACAATTAATAAAGAACGGGTGGCTAGAAGCCTAGAAGCACAAACTTCCCAGCCTCCTTCTAGCAGGTGAATTTCTTTCAAATTTAAGTAATCGAAGCAAGTGAAAGTATATATATGATTTTGAGTTTTTTTATAAAAGAAGTTTAGTTCAGTTTATTAACATTGGTATAAATTTATTACAAAAGAATTCCAAATACTCTCAATGTTATGTTTCTATTTGTTAAACACGACAACATCATAAAATTATATAATAAGTCCTTATACGATAACTTGTCATATATAAACTTATTCCCCAATGGAATCAATATACAGTAGAACCTCTATAAATTAATACTCGATAAATTAATAAATTTCTCTGGTCCCAATTTGGGCTGGTGTAAAATATGACACAAATCGATAAAATAATAAGATAATAATATTCTTAAAACTTCCATGTAAATATATGGTCCCACTAAAATCATAAATTAATAATCTAGCTATATATAATTTTATATAAGTACAATCTAACATTATATATTGACTATAAAAATACTTTTATTTTTTTAAACATTTCAATAGATTTTGATAATATTTAGTTAGGGGTCTTATATTTACTATAAAAATACTTTTATTTTTTAAATATTTCAGTATATTTTGATAATATTTAGTTAAATTATATCGAAAACCATGTAACAATTCTATGAAACATAAAAATATACACCAAATAAGATAATAAAACAATATAAAAGTGAAATTTCTAAAATTTAAATAATGTACATATGCTAAAATCACATATTTTTATTTTATAAATAAAAATGAAAATAAAATGAAAAAAAAAACTAAATAAGGAAACTTTCGTAAATTAATATCTCTATAAATTAATAAAATTTCAAAGTCCCGATATTATTAATTTATAGAGGTTTTACTGTACATAAGTGTCACTTCAGAGCTGTGCACACAGATTAAGGAAATAATTAATTTTACACATTTTCTATATAAAAACACAATTACCTATACACCTAACCATATTTTAACCAATAGAAAAACAAATTACATAATAAAATTAATAAAGTTTGCATTGAAAACCGAAAATGACACTTATTTTGTAACGAAAAAATTATCTACAACGACACTTAATATGAAACGGAGGGAGTAATATTTTCTTCTTAAATTTGTAAATATTGATTTTGTAAATAATATTTTCTTATTAAATTTGTAAATAATTTTGCTATGGATATATGTATATATGTATATAACTTAAAACATAGTATGGGTATACTCATGTCATTGTGAAATTTTAAGAACCAATTAAGGTGTTTTTAAGTGGATGATCGCGTGCTCATCTTTTACTTTTCACTTGCGAATCCCCACCTTTGATTTCTTAAGTGGAGGGTTAAATTTCGTCTACGTTTTGTCATCTCTCATATTGACATTATGTTTATGTTAGTTTCTTGGTTCTGTTTCAATGCAGATATGGAAATATAGATATCTCAATTTGTGTTTGACAAAAAAAAATGATATTTCAGTTTGTAATCCCCCATCCAATTAGAAGTTAGACTACAAGAAAACAGGGCTCATTCCGAGGAAAATTTCAACAGCCACGCAGTTCCTCGGAAAATTCCGATGGGATTCCGATGGAATTCCGACGAAACACAAATTTTATGTTTCCTCGGAATTCCGTCGGAATATTCCGACGACATTCCGAGGAACATATATTCCGTCGGGATAAACCGAGGACATTCCAAGGATAAATTATAGTCGTTGGAAAAGTTCGAAAATTCCGAGGATTTTAAATTTTCCTCGGAATTTCATCGGAATATTCCGACGGAATTCCGAGGGATATTTATGACCATTGTATATTCCGACGAAATTCCGACGGAATACTAGTTTTCCGTCGGAATTTCGTCGGAATCGTCGGCAGAATTTCATCTATAAATACAAGCACCCCTCCTCTCCTTTCATTCACTCAATATTCTCATCCTCTCACTTATACACACGAATCTGGTTCACAAAAACATGTCTTCTTCAAATTATTATCGTTCGTGGATGGA